TTTGAAAATTTAGTTTTTTGGTTTTCGTATTTTTTTGTTTTTAGTGAATATTTTTAAAATTTTAAACATTTTTTTTTTACTTTTTTAGATGCACCTTATTTAGATATATCTAAAAAGTAAAAAAATTATGAAAAAATATTTTAAAAATTTAATAAATACATAAAAATATAAAAAACGTACTGAATTTTCGTATTTTTTTTGTATTTTTGGTATTTAGTGAATTTTTAAAAGATTTTTTTCACAAATTTTTTACTTTTTAAGTATATTTACATTAGGTATGTTCAAAAAGTAAAAAAAATATTTAAAATATTAAAAAAATTCTATAAAAATAAAAAAACACGAAAAATAAAAAAGTAAAATTTTCTAAAAAATATTTTTGAAAAAACAGCATGGTTAATAAAACGTAAATTTATTACAATAGTGTCCTACGCCTTTCGCGGGCATTTTTTTCTTGTATATATACTAGCGTATACCCGTGACTAAAGGTACGGTATAAATAATTTTAAGATTAAAATGCAGTTATAAAAATATATTTAACAGACTATACAATTCCAAACAAATCAAATATAAAAAAAATTAAATATCAAACAATGCACACCAGCTAGTGCTCTACAATTTAAAAGAAATTAAAACTAAAATGCACACCAGGAAGTATCCACAATTCTACACATAATCCAAGTACTCCATTTCGAGCCGGTATTGCGATTTATGGGTGGAAAACGCCAAACCCACCAATTTTCCACCCATAAATCAAAATGGGATTCGTGGATATTTTTGTGATTTGGTGTGGCTCAAGTGTATGATAACATATTTAATGAGATTACTATCCCAATTGAGGATAGTGATTCCCTCTATTTAGACATTCAATTTAAAAATCTATAAACAAATAAAGAATGTTGATCCGGATCCAAACCCAGCAAATTTTTTTTTTTAAAAAAATGGAACCCAGTTTGGTAGAATATAAGCCTACCAAGCTTTAAATAATATTAAGATTAAAATGCAGTTATAAAAATATATTTAATCCCAACACTATCTAATAGGAGAAAAAAAAATTTAATAGGAGAAAAAAAAATGGAAAAATACCAAATAGAAATATACCATATAGAGAAAACTACATAATCATTTTGTTCTAGAGAGGTTGTTTTCGAATTGGGTAAGAGAGAGAGAGAGTAGTAGAATCTCAAATAAGCTCATCATTTAAATTTTTTATTTTTTAGAGAAACAAAAAAAGAGTAGTTTTTGGATATAGAAATAGTAGAGACTAAGAAATTGATTACAAAAAATATAACGCGCACACATAAATTCTATCATTCAACAAAATTGTTTTCATTAGAAGGTTACATGTTGGAGAAAAGTTCCACAACAATAGACACGTGTTTGAACAGATTAGAACATCTCAAATTATTCATTTTTTCTTTTGTTGGGTAGTGTAGTGTAGCCTAACTCTCATGTTGGGAAAATTACAGTGATACTCGAAAAAATATTTGAAACCTTGAGGAAAGTATCCACAATTCTACACATAATCCAAGTACTCCATTTCGGGCCGGTATTGTGATTTATGGGTGGAAAACGCCAAACCCACCAATTTTCCACCCATAAATCAAAATGGGATTCGTGGATATTTCTGTGATTTGGTGTGGCTCAAGTGTATGATAACATATTTAATGAGATTACTATCCCAATTGAGGATAAAACTTTTTTAGATGCATCTTACTTAAATGTGTTTAAAAAGTAAAATATTTGTGGAAAAATATTTTAAAAAATTAATAAATACAAAAAAATATGGAAAATGTACTGATTTTTCTTATTTTTTTTATTTTATATTTTTGGTATTTAGTGAATTTTTTAAATATTTTTTTCACAAAAATTATACTTTTTAAGTGTATTTATGTAGAGTGTGCCTACAAATTAAAAAAATTTGCTTAAAATATCAAAAAAATTTAGTAAAAACAAAAAAAAAATATGAAAAACAAAAAAAGTAAAATTTTATGAAAAGTATTTTTTAAAAACTCAAACCAAACAATCACTAAACTCAATAAAAATAGTATTTTAGATATTTTTTATACACTTACATTGAGTTTAATGACTAAAGTATTAGTTTTTTGGGTCCATTTTACTAAATAAAAATAGATAGGTGGTTTATATTGAAAAAAAATAATAAAAATAGAGTTTAAATTGACAAAATAAATAATTCAAAATTTATATTTTATAGTTGTAAAATTATATGTTGTAATAAACACTGTTTTCAGTAAAACTAAAAATATTATAGTTGTAAAATTTAAATTTATAATAAAAATTATATGTTTGGTTTGAGTTTTTTTAATTAAGTTTTTTGAAAATTCAGTTTTTTGGTTTTCGTATTTTTTTGTTTTTAGTAAATATTTTTAAAATTTTAAACATTTTTTTTTTACTTTTTTAGATGCACCTTACTTAGATACATCTAAAAATTAAAAAAATTGTGAAAAAATATTTTAAAATTTTAATAAATACATAAAAATATAAAAAAACGTACTGAATTCTCGTATTTTTTTTTTTGTATTTTTGGTATTTAGTGAATTTTTAAAAGGTTTTTTTCACAATTTTTTAACTTTTTAGGTATATTTATATTAGGTATGTCGAAAAAGTAAAAAAAATGAAAAATTGGTCTAGGGTCCCTCTCCCACTTTTCGTAATGGAAGAAATCCACAAAATTATTTTTTGATGTCTAAGGTCCCTAAACATATATCAGAGAAATTTGACTCTTTGTCTCTACTCTATTCTCTCTCTCTCTCTCTCTCTCTCTCTTCTCCTCTCACCCACTGTCTTCCAGACCCAAGGCAACAAGCTCTGCTCCTCCACCCTCCTCTCCACCCTCCTCTACGACCTCTTCCTCAACACCTTCTCCTCTGACTCCTTCCTCCGCTCTGCCATCGTTGCAGACCTCCGCTCTGCCCGGATCTGCGACCCGGTCTCATAACAGGTCGCTACTATTCTCTAAACCTGAGATTCATGCATATATATATATATATATATATACGCATCTAGTTGAGCCTTGAGGTTGTAAAATTGAAGTGATAAAATATGCAGATTTGGTATTCTTCTTGGCTTCCAAGTTCTTGAAGACAATTCCTCAGGTAGTGTTTATTAATCACTCGCTGAAATTTTTGATGATGTACACTTAATTTATATATCTTATTGTAAGTATTTATAGTAGGTGCAAGTGTGTTAATGAATTTGAATTTTTGTTCAGGCTGCTGCGACGACTTGCTACGTTGCTACGCATCCGAGGCTTGAAAACGTTTCTAGAAAGTACTTGGCAGACTGCAACAAAGCTTCAACATCCAAATTGGGATCAAACTCTACCGAAGCTGCAAGGTTGTGGTCTGTCTTGGAGCTCATGCCCCAAGAATTTCTCAAATTTCTCTAGATTCAACCCAGAGAAATTTGAATTTTCTCTGGATTCAACCCAGAGAAAATTCAAAGGATCAGACCAACATTCATGTTTATCCTGATTGGGCAGCCATGCAAGTTTTTCATTTGATGCATGCTCTTATGGAACACAAAAAATCAAGTTATCATGTTCCAAAGAATTTTATGTTTAAGTAGTGATTCAAGATAGTTTGTTACATCTACGTTGCTACCCCGAAGTCCTCTTGGTGTGGTTTTGCATTGGAGCTTGGGGCTAGCTTTTAATTTATATATATATATATATATATATGAACTGTTGATAACTTTTATCTTGCTTTTGAATCTAACCTGACAATAATCCCAGTCATAAACAAAATTGACCAACCAACTGCTGATCCAGATCATGTTAAAGCTGAGCTAAAATCAGAGAATTTCTCTGGACGAACCCAGAGAAATTTCAGTTCAAACCAGAGAATTTCTTTGGACCAACCCCGAGAAATTTCAGTTCAAACCAGAGAAATTTCAATTCTAACTTGTGATGCAACTTTAATATTGATTAATTTACCTTCTTTTCTAACCATGCAGCCAGAGAAATTTTGAATTTCTATGGAGAGAAGGGTGATATTGCTTTGTCGGCATGTTAGCTGCTCGGATCATCCACCAACTGGTCTGTTCATATAAAGGAGGAAAGAGAAAATAAGAAAAACTAGCAGCCCGCCAAGCATACATCCAACCATAATCAAGGTAATCTTCTTTGATGATTTTGGGTTATGTTTCTTTGGTGGCAAACTAGCCACAATCTTTTTTGGGGGATTAGGCCCAGCAAGGTTTCCATCATAGTTGCTTAATTTGAAGATCTCAGCTCCATTTAAAATGACGTTATAATATTGAGATTTTGTTTTCGTGTTTGGGTGTAGCTCTAGCCACAGGTCTTGCTTCTCCCCATTGTTTACTTTTGGAACCAAAACAACATAGTCTCAGTACACTGGAATTGTGTACCCGTTGCTCCAAGCAATAACATTAGCTTTAACTTTGGCTGTTTCATTGTTGATGAATATGTCAAACACCCCCTGGTTTACATTTTTCATCCACCGATTCACCTCGCAAAAATGCAGCTGAACAAGGTAGAAGAAACCAGAATCAATGGGGAAAAACCAGCTCAAATTGTAAAGCACATTGACGTTGGAATATAGTCCCATGGCTCTAGCTGTCTTGTAGACCATCTCAGGTGCAGTGCATAGCAAGGAAGTGAGTTGAGGTAGGGAAATTCTTATGTTAAAAAAAAAAAAAAAGGGCAGAGAAATTTACAGTGGGAAGTTTAGGGAAGTCCAGAGAAATTTTCAAAATTTCTCTAGAAAGTCCAGAGAAATTCTTCCCATCATAATATCAGGGACCTTAAAAAAAATATCCCTAAAAAAAATACTTAAAATATTAAAAAAATTCAGTAAAAATAAAAAAACACGAAAATAAAAAAGTAAAATTTTCTGAAAAATATTTTTGAAAAACAGCATGGTTAATAAAATGTAAATTTATTACAATAGTGTCCTACGCCTTTCGCGGGCATTTTTTTTCTAGTATATATATATGTTCATGGATGCAAGCAATGGCACCATTCTTTGCTTAACTGACTTATTATCATCTCTCTCTCTCTCTCTCTCTCATCATGGAAACTACTATCAAACAACAACAGCAGAAGCCTCACATAGTCATTTTCCCCTCACCAGCAATGGGTCATCTCATCCCACTCAGTGAGTTCGCTAAGCGACTCGTCCTCACCCACAACTTCTCAGTCACCTTCATCATCCCCAACTTTGGGTTTCCCATCAAATCCCAAAAATCTTTCCTCGACTCCTCCATGCCCAAAACCATTCAAGTCCTCTATCTCCCTCCTCCTCCCCCTCTGGCCGACGTTCCTTCCGATGCCGATCCTTCTTTTTTTGTCATAACGGCCATGACTCGTGCTGTCCCGGCTCTCCGTGACTCGCTCAAGCTCTTAACTGAGTCAACTCGCCTCGTCGCCCTGATAGTCGATGTCGTTGGCACCGACTCATTTGAAGTAGCTCGAGAATTCAATCTGCTACGGTACATTTTCGTGCCTTTATGTGCAATGTCACTGTCATTGCTTTTGCATTTGCCCAAGTTAGACGAAGAAGCTCAAGCTCACGGTTGCAGTGACTATAAAGACATACCCGACCCAATCAAAATACCCGGTTGCATCCCGATTCGGGGCACACAGTTTGTAGATATGTTGCAGAACAGAAACACTCACACTTACAAATTGTTCATTTACCATACCAAAAGGTACAATCTGGCTGATGGGATTATCGTCAATAGTTTCCTGGAGTTGGAATCTGGAGCTTTTAATGCTTTTGCGGATGACGGGGAGGATGGGTCGGGTAAAAAACCGCCCATATACCCGATTGGACCCTTGTTACAAACCCGTCCGATAAGTGGAAATGATGATGATGTGGAGTGCTTGAGGTGGCTCGATGAGCAGCCACGTGGCTCAGTGTTATTTGCGTCCTTCGGGAGCAGTGGAACCCTTTCACAGGAGCAGCTAACTGAACTAGCCTTGGGTTTGGAGATGAGTGAACAGAGGTTCATTTGGGTTGTTAGGAGCCCAGCTAAGGATGGTGCAAGTGGTGTTCACTACAATGCACAAAGCATTAACAAGGATGATGACCCATTTGATTTCCTACCAAAGGGGTTCATGGAGAGGACAAGAAGAGGGGGGTTGGGTCTATTGGTTCGGTCGTGGGCCCCACAGATTCAAATCTTGAGCCATGGCTCAACCGGTGGATTCCTGAGTCATTGTGGTTGGAACTCAATACTAGAAAGCTTAGTCAATGGAGTGCCTTTAATTGCTTGGCCACTCTTTGGAGAGCAAGAAATGCATACAGAAATGCTAACCAAACAATTCAAAATCGCGTTTAGACCAAATAAGAACGAGGAAGATGGCCTTGTTGGTCGTGAAGAAATCGCAAAACTTGTGAGGGATCTTATTTTAGGAGAAGGCGGGAAACCACTTCGACAAAAGGCAAGGGAGCTGAAAGAGGCGGCCGCCACCGCCACGAGTGCACATGGATCATCTGCTAGGTCACTTGTTCAAGTCATCCAAATTTGGAAAAATCATGAAACGGTAATGCTTTGACACCCGCTCTGATACCATTTGTAATGCTCCACCTCCACCACCTGCCTACCTGCCTGTTCTGTTGGGTCTATCATCATGACTTGACTCGAAATGCAAAGGTTTAAGTTATTTAGTAATAAAGCTCGGGTGCGGAGGTTCAAGTTATTTAGTAATAAAGCTCGTGGTGCCTTGTATAATCAAGATCACTCATATGTAATCTTTTGATATCCTCAATGGTTTGTTGTTTAATGCATCACTTATGTCTTTGTTTTCCTTTCTTTCTTTCGTTGTTAAACCGTGGAGTTACACTTCTTGTATCAGTTAATGTTATTCAAATCAATCAATATGGGAGAATATGTTAGTATCAATAATACTACAAATTTAAATTTTTTATTTTGAATGTTATTTGAAAATATCAATTCTTGATTCTAATTCATTCCATACTTAAATTCCACATTAGATTAATTCAATTTCCATTACATTAGCGCATTATCGAGGGATAATTTTTCGGTGTCAATAAGATTTCAAGTACAAGTATTACATTTATTTTAAGGATTTTCATAGTATTACATTTATTTTCACTTTCTCTTCGCTGGGGAAATTTCTCTTAATAACTTTAGAAAAAAGTTAAGAATCATGAAATTTTTTTTATGAAAATAATCATAAAAGATTTATGATTTTTAGATTACCTTGATTAGTGTGTGGTGCTTTATTCTTAAGTGTAATTCAAAGATCACAAAGCTTTCATGATTATTTTCATGAAAGGTTTTTCATGATACCTAACATTGTGATAACTTTATGGGAACTTATTTGTAGGAGTTAATAGGTGAATTTATTATTCAATAGTTTATATGATAATTAATGTGTTTTTCATCAAACACTATTAAAAAACATCATTAATTATTAATTTTTAGTGACAATTTAAAAATTGTCATAAAAAATGCCACTAATTATAAGTTTTAGTAACAATTTTAAAAACTTGTCACAAAAAAATGTCACTAATTTTTAACTTTCAGCAACAGTTTAAAAAAATCATCACAGAAAATTTTTTCTAATTGTAAGTTTTAGTGACAATCTATAAAAATTTTGAAAAAAAGTCATTAATTATCAATTTTTAGCGACATATGCAAAAAAGATCACAAAATTATTTTTAGCGACGATTTTACTAGAACTTATTTTTAATAAAATTTGATGAAAATTAAATCTAATTATTGGGACCTATTGGTAGTTTACCCTTTATTTTTAAGGATAAATTACAAATACACCTCTTGAGATTTATTTAAAAATAAATTTCTCTTTCTAGTTTGAAAAATTACAAATATCTCTTTGTTATAATTTTTTATTTAATTTAATTAATTGAAAAAATAAAATTCTCAATTGTTCTATAATGATAAAATTACCTTAATTATTAATTGAAACAAATTTATGATATTATTAAAAATTATTAATTGATTTGATGATTTATCAATGAAAGGGTCATTTGTTATGAAATTAAAAACTTTCGAGGATGGAATGTAATTTCTAAAATCAAATGGATAAATTATATTTTAAGCAAATCTCATGAGTGTATTTGTAATTTACCCTTATTTACAACACAAAATTCAAATTATAATACTATAACTCCATAATTACGCTCATTTTTGTTGTAAGTTGAAATCACAATGCAACGGTACCCATTTTTTAATTATATTTTAAGAAAGTGAGCAAATATTATAAATAAATAAAAAACTTGTAAAATATATTATATCAGAAATGTCAAGGATCCTAAAAAAACTACCATTGCTCCTACCATATCATTCATATTCTCTTCATTATATCATTTCATTATATTATTTAATGATTGTGAAAGGATACGAATTATAAAAAAAAAAAAATTTAAAAAATTTGTGAAAGAAAAAATATATATATATATATATATATTAAATATTTAATTATGAAATAAAGGTAAGTTGACATTTTCATTACAAGGTACACCCCTAAGAGCATCTCCAACGGTAATAGGCATTTTACCTATCTAAACATTACTATAAAGTATATATTTTATTTTGTCTATCAACTATTTCATATTTCTTCTCCAACTATGCTCTTTATTTTAACTATTCATCTAACACTTTGCTTGGTTAGAGTTTTCAAAAAATACTTTCTAAAAAATTCTACTTTCTTGTTTTTCGTATTTTTTTTGTTTTTATTGAATTTTTTAAATATTTTAAGTATTTTTTTTTTTAATTTTTAGACATACCTAACATAAATATACCTAAAAGTAAAAAATTTGTGAAAAAAACCTTTCAAAAATTCACTAAATACCAAAAATATACAATTAAAAAAAAAGAGAATTTAGTACATTATTTATATTTTTATGTATTTATTAATTTTTTAAAATATTTTTTCACAAATTTTTTACTTTTTAGATACATCTAAGTAAGGTGCATCTAAAAAAGTAAAGAAAATGTTTAAATTTTAAAAATATTCACTAAAAACAAAAAAATGCAAAAATCAAAAAACTTAGTTTTCAAAAAATTTAATTCAAAAAACTAAAACCAAACACACTGATTAATTTTATAAAATGTCACATCAGCAACAAAGATGGAGGGAAATGATCTTAATGATTAAATAGATTTTGCCTAACTTTGAAGGTTAGCTATGATAGGGAGTAGTTTGTATTATGCTGCTGTGCATCACATGTGATTGTATACCTGGATTAGTTAGAGAGAGAATAGGTGGTTAGGCAGTTATATAGTTTGTTACATAGATATATATAGTTATATACATATGGTAGCTAGTATATATAACGCTCTTCAATGTAACTGATTGATTAAGATGAATGAATAAACTTTGAAGTTCTTCATGGTATCAGAGCCCTGTTAAGCTCCATCGAGCGATCAATGGGTTCCTCTACAGAATCTTTATCTTCTTCTTCTTCAATTCCGTCAAATCTCAACATGCTGATTTCAAATCTAAGTTCTCTTGTTACCATAAAGCTTGATAGCACAAATTTTATCATCTGGAAAAACTAGATGCAAAACATTCTTCGTGCAACAGACTTGTTGAAGTTCGTCGATGGTTCGTTTCCATGTCCTGTTGCTCATATTCGCAATTCTTCAGTAACAGAGGTTAGCAATCCAGATGCGATTCAATGGCAGATGATTGATGCACATCTCTTGAGTTGCATCACAGCTACGCTTTCACCTGCAATTTTTACAATAATTCTTCACCTATGGTCCAGTTCTGCTGTGTGGACTGCACTTGACAAACGTTTCACGAATCTTTCTCGCTCACACATTCATCAACTGAAGAACAAATTGAATTCTGTTTCGAAGGGCTTCGATTCGATGGAAATCTATCTGAACAACATCAAATCTATTGTTGATCAATTTAGTATTGCATCTTCCTTTATTGATAATGAGGATATCGTTCTTATCGCCTTGAACGACTTACCGACTGTGTATGATTCTCTCAAGACAGCCATCCGAGTGAGACCTGAAAGTATATCTATGGAAGATCTCTCTTCTTTGCTCTTCTCAGAAGCTCTTCATATTGAAGGCAAGTTACAACACAACTCAGATCTTCATTTTGCTCATGCAACATAGTGAGATTCCAATGCCAATGCTTCCAAAGGTTATGTTTCCTATCATAATAATCGTGGCTCTTCTCATGGTGATTCTCGAGGCACTTTTTCGTGCAAATCGATTCAGTTCTAATCAATACTCTTCTTTTTGAGGAGGTCGATCTCAAAATTGCACCAGATCATCTTTGGAACCATTTGCCAGATTTGTGGAAAAGCTAATCACTCCGCTTCTAAGTGTTGGCATCGGCTTGATCTTCAATATCAGCCCCAGACACATCAGTCTCAACAATCACCTACTGCTTCTTCATCTGGTGCTTCCGTGCCTCATCAATCCAAGGCTTTTCTCACCACCACCCCTGATGATACTGCATCTCATGCTTCTAGTCCTTGGTTCTTGGACTCTACTGCTTCTGACCTTGTCACAAATGACCTTCATAATCTGAATTCTTATCAGTCCTATACTGGTTCTGATCAAGTTACCATTGGCAAAGGCACTTCTCTTCCTATATACCACACTAGCAAAGGTATTCTCCCCACCCCACACCACTCATTTAAGCTTGCGAAAGTTCTTCATGTCCCTTCCATACAGTCCAATTTGCTCTCTGTTCAACAATTCGCCAAAGACAATGATTGCTCCATAATTTTTGATAAAGCTACCTTTTCCATCCAGGACAATCATTCTAAAGCAATTCTTCACAAAGGTTTTCATGCTAATGGCCTCTACCATTTTCCTGTGGGTTCTTGCCCTTCTCCACATGTTTTTGCTGCCTCATCAACATCTCTCTTCCTATATACCACACTAGCAAAGGTATTCTCCCCACCCCACACCACTCCTTTAAGCTTGCGAAAGTTCTTCATGTCCCTTCCATGCAGTCCAATTTGCTCTCTGTTCAACAATTCGCCAAAGAAAATGATTGCTCCATAATTTTTGATAAAGCTACCTTTTCCATCCAGGACAATCATTCTAAAGCAATTCTTCACAAAGGTTTTCATGGTAATGGCCTCTACCATTTTCCTGTGGGTTCTTTCCCTTCTCCACATGTTTTTGCTGCCTCATCAACATCTCCTTCCACTGCGGCTATATGGAATAAAAGACTTGGCCATCCTTCATTTGCAAAATTTCAATTACTAAAATCTGAATTGTCATTGTCTCATTTTTTCAATCAAAATGATTTGTCTTGTGTTGCGTGTTCCATTTCTAAATGTCATAGACTTCCATTTGTTCTTTCTAATTCCAAAACTAATGTTCCATTAGCTTTAATTCACACTAATGTTTGGGGACCGTTTAATTGTTCCTCTAGTGCTTATCGCTATTATGTGTTGTTTGTTGATGATCATAGTCGCTTTACATGGATTTATCCTCTTGTCTATAAAAGCGAAGTCTTTTCTAAATTCATGATGTTTAAAGCATTTGTGGAAAAATAATTTGGTTTCCTCTTAAAATACTTCGCTCAGATGGGGGTGGTGAATTTATCAATACTCAAATGCAAGACTTTTTGAATTCTCATGGTATTCTTCATCAATTTTCTTGCCCACACACTCCCTCTCAAAATGGAGTCACGGAGAGGAAGCATTTGCACATTATTGAAATAGCCATCGCCCTGTTATATCAATCTTCTTTACCCCTATCTTATTGGTTTGAAGCTATTGCTACAGCCACCCATCTCATTAATCGGCTTCCTAGTGCTTCTCTCTCTAACTGTTCTCCTTTTGAACTACTGTTCCACATTAAACCTGATTACTCTCATCTTAAAGTGTTTGGTTGCTTGTGTTTCCCCGGCTTAAGCCTTATGCTTCTCATAA